CCTGTTTAACAAAATCTCAGTCTATGGAGTTGTTTTTTTTCCGAGGGTGGGTTTTTTTTGTTTGGGTTTTTGGTTTTTTTGGGAGGGGGGGGAGGTTCCCCCTCTGGTTAGTTTTAAATAACAAGGGAGACTGTAGGATGATGACAATAATGTGTAAGTGCTGCAGTGCCAACAGCAGTACAATCTCCGTCTAGGAACAAGAAGGCACTGTAGCAGGTCGCCTAAAATATTTCAGCCGCCTCCTTTTAGTTTTCCTATTCATTGCCCATCAATTTACTGGCCCATGAAACTTCCATGGGCAGCCTTCTGTTGCAGTTCATACAGTACCACATAGATTAACAGCTTGCTCCACAACCAAAGCCCAGGCTCACTGCAACAGCACAAAGCTTGGCTTGGGCTGATCCACCATAACACCGTGTTCCCCAGTAATTACAACTGGACAATTTCAGCCTCATAGCATTGGAATTAACTGAGATACTGCATTTACCCTGCATGCACACACTGGTATCACAAGTTAAACTTGCCTGAAAGAGCAGCTTTTGTCCCTACAGACACAAGAGATCACATACACACACTGTAATGCAGCCAGCAAAGGCAAAGCGCTCATTGCTTCAAGCTTCATAGCTGAATAATAAGCTCTGGAAGTTTCTACCTGGCTTGGGAAAGTCAAATCCCTGATGAAGTGTTACCTCTTCCTGCCCCTGCTGAGATTTAGAAAAAGCCTGCTCTGTTTTTTCAGAACAGCCGCTAATTGTACTGTCAGGCTCTTGGGTGCTGAGGGCTTGCAGAGCTGGTGGCCACCAAACCGCAAATCTCTCCAGCATTCTCAGCAGACTATGAACTCAGTATTGTACACATACAGCAAATCAAACCCTCTCACCCAAGTAGGTGAGCTGGAAATGCTCTGCTAACAGCTCCTCCCCTGGGATTTAGCCTGCATCCATATTTCATAGAATGGTTTGGGTTGGAAGGGACCTTAAAGACCATCCAGTTCCAACCCCCCTGCCATGGGCAGGGACACCTTCCACTAGACCAGGTTGCTCAAAGCCACATCCAGCCTGGCCTTGAAGACATCCAGGGATGGGGCATCCACAGCTTCTCTGGGCAACCTGTGCCAATGCCTCACCATCCTCTCAATAAAGAACTTCTTCCTGATGTCCAATCTAAATCTCCCCACTTTCAATTTAAACCCATTACCCCTTGTCCTGTCACTACAGGCCCTTGTAAAAAGTCCCCCCGCAGCTTCCTTGTAGCCCCTTCAGGTACTGGAAGGTGCTATAAGGTCTCCCCAGAGCCTTCTCTTCTCCAGGCTGAACAAGCCCAACTCTCTCAGCCTGTCCCCATAGCAGAGGTGCTCCAGCCCTCTGA